GCGTGGGCCGGGCGGCCGTGCCGTGGCGGCGCGGTGCCGCGCCGCTCTGGATGTGCGAGACCGCCTCGGCCGCCTGCACGTCGGGCGGCGCGAAGCGGGAGAGGACGCGCAGCAGCGCCTGGGCCTTGTGCTCCTGCGTCTCGTCGTCGCTGTAGTCCGCCACGCGGCACTGGTAGACGCCCTCGTCCTGCCGCCGCACGCCCGAGAGCCGCAGCCGGTGCGAGATGTCGTTGCCCTGGACGCGGACCGTCTGCAAGAGAGCGCACCGCCGGGTGCCGCCTCAGCAGCGGCCGCCGGCCCCGCCGCCTTCCCCTTCTTCCCCGTCCCTTCCCCAGCGGCGACCCGCTCTCCCCGGTGCAGCCCCGGGGGAGCTCGCTCCCGCCCCAGGTACGCGTCTTTTGCTGTCCAGAACACCGCGCCTGGGCCAATTCCCCCCGCGAGCCGAGCGCACCGGACGTTTAAGCCCAGCACCTCGCAGCTACGGCCTCCCTTCGGGCCCCCAAGGCGCCATCCAGAATGAGTCCCTGCTCCACCACCACGGCCCCTCCCCCCCGTCCCCCGCCCGGGGGTCCTCTCTCCCCTCTCCCCCTGCCCAGTCCCGCACAGAGCCCCCACGGAGCCCCCGCAGCGCTCCCAGGTGCCGGGCACGCTCCAACCCGCCCGAACCGCCCCGAACCCGACCCTCGGGGAAAGCCCAGCACCCCAGGGGTGGCCCCGCGCCCGCTGCAGAGGGCCGAGCCCTGCCGGGTGTAGTGCCGCCCAGCGGGGACCGAGGAGGGCTGGGGCGGAGGCAGTCCCAGGCCCGCATCGACGGGAAAGGGGCTCGTTTCTTGCAGGACAGGGAGAGAAAGGGGTCGCCACGGGCGACCGGGGTTTGCAGAGGGCAGGGAAAAAAACAATCTTCTCTCCTGGTCTGGCCCACAGTCCTTTTCAAACGTGGCTAAGGAAGGGCTGTAAGGCAAGCATCACCTCCTCTCGATTTGTGAGGAATGAGATGTGACTGCTAAACCAGCAACAGATGGTAACGTTTCGACCAAGCGACAACACACCGAGGAAGGGAAACGTGCCATGCTCCTGCCGTGCTGCAGGAGCGGGGCTGCCAGTGAGCCCAGCTGCGTTCATGTGTCAGGAAAGGAGGGGGGCATGCAGTAAATCCCACGTGTATGGGAGGAGGGGTGCACACCACCCAGCTCGAGCTGCACTTACGCTGATTTTGGTTGCATCCTTATTTGTTACCTAAAAGAACAGAAAAAAGGGAGATTAGACTTAGCTCTGCCAGCACACAACAAGATGCTCATATTCCCACCCCAGTGCAAGGACAGGATACAGACAGATGCAACTTTCTCTGCCTGCCATTCACACAGCCTGGGGGGGGGGGGGGTGTTCCCCAGGCAATGGGGAACGCAGCAAACCAGTGCTTAACCCCGGGGGACTGTTCTGGTGAAGCTCCTGTGGTGCCCACCAAGGGTGCGAACAGCAGCCAAAGAAATGCTTGTTGCATGCTGTGCTGCTCACAGTCACTGACAAACACTGGGGAAGACACTTTACCAGCAGCATTAGCACAGAGGTGAAGTGCTTGGGCAGGATGGATCCCACACTGCTCAGAGCAGAGCTTCGGTCCTGAAACATCCTGGGAGCAGGTATCGCTCAGCAGGTTTCGAACTTGGTTATTTTTTTTGTCTCCAGCCAACTACTGTAAACCTAAGCGATGCCTCAGAGCTCACAGATGCGCCTCCCAGGGCATCATTCTCCAGGCATGCCCTGTCATCATTTATTGTAAAAGCAACTCACGGTTTTTATATAAGGTTAAAGAAGACATTTAAATCCAAGCAATTTATTTCCCTGTCTGACAACTGACTTACACTTTCCCCAGCTAGGCGGCATCGCATTAGCTCAGTGTCTATATGCTTTGCATCTCTATTTGAGCTCTGCAGGAAAACAAGCATGCCACAGAGAGGGGAGCTGGCACAGGCACAGAGGCTGCCGCGGGGCACCCTGCCGGTGCAGGAGATGGGGGGCTGGAGAGGATGACGTGCCCTGTGCAGTAAGGCAACATGGCCTGGAAGTCCTGCTTTACCCGGCTCCTCGTACAGCCCCGTTTGGCACCAGCAAGGTGTCTTGCACCTGGGGGGGAGGCTGCAGAATGAACTGGCTTATGTTGGGGAAATGCAGCTGAAAAATTTAGACTAGAGCCTACCCTTGTGCCAGGCGGCTTGCTAGGGGGAGGGGAAAGCACACGCAAGATTTAAGTCTGCTTCATGCATTTTAATTACTATATCCGACTGTCTGAAAATGTCTTGCTGAGCTCCAGATATGGACGTAGGTGTGTACATGCACCCCAAGAAACTGCATGCATTTGTATATGCAAATTGATACGTACTTAACATACTAACAGAGAGAGGTGTATCCCTCATGCCTTTCTCTATCAGTGAGCAAACAGAGGCTCGCCCACGTTTTACAACAATTCCTTGCTCAGCCCACAGCAGTGCTGGTTTTTGCTTGTCCCCACTTCATACTACAGCTATTTTTGACTGCCTCCCTTGGGTCCTCATTGCTGATTTTGCAGCAGGACATTTTTCATTTTCTATTTACAATCCTTAAAGCACTGACTTTTTTTCCTGAGGTGAAGTCCCCCATGGTGCATGCCCTGTCCTCCTCCATCCCAGGGAGGGCCTGGAGATGCCAGTGCTTCCAATGGCTCGCTGGCACGGGGTAGAGGAACAACCCTCCTCTCTGGGACTGCTGAGTTTATTCTGATCACCCTCCGAGCATGTTGCGCTCTATGAAGAGATATATCTCCATAGCACTGTATTACCTTGCTCCTGCTGCCGGGTACACTGATGGCTAATTCGTGTGCAAGTTCTCTGGCTGGTTCTTTAAGGTACCACCACTGGATTTCCAAGGAGTAAGAGGTGGATCCGCTGGCTCGGAAAGCACAAGGCATCTCAATATCATCTCCCTCCCTAACAGTCACATCTTTGGGAACTTCAGTAAAGGTAGCTGGGAGGGGAAGATAGAGTTACAAGGGCTGGTTAACGGGAGAGATTAAAAGACAAGATCAGTCCTTTTCAGTGTAACGTGAGCTGCTTCAGCTCAAGGGCTAAGCGCTGTCCGAGACACGGGTTTCCTGTAGTGCGGTGACCGCAGGATAAGCGGAGCATCCAGGACTGCGCACCCGCGGCAGGGCCGAGCCGGTCCCCGCCGCCCTGCAGCCCGGGGCCGCGGCCCCAGCAGAAAGTTCGAAGAGGCCCATAAAGCCCCTCGTCCTCCCGAGAAAGCCCTCGGCTGGATAGAGGGGCATCAGTGTCCCGCTGCCCCCTCCCCCAGATCCGGCGCGGGGACCGTCCCGGGCTGCGCGCCCGCTG